TGGACTTCGCATGTAGACTTCGCCTGTAGACTTCTATTTCACAATGTAGACTTCGTAAAAGGTAAAATGGTAACTGGGACATCCGTTTTTTTCTTTGGTCATAAGNGGTCTAATTGTAATTTNACTACNCCTTTGNGTTAGTTTTCGCAAATATGAGATGTGGGGTTTAGGTTTCATATATAAATGAATTTGTGGGTTATTTACAGCAATTTTCCCATAATTTTTTAGAGTAAAGTTGCCCGCGTTATTCTGAGTCGGCTCTCTCCATCTCCCTCTCTCCTCACGAAAAAACCCCTTCGAAAGCTTCTTCGACTTTTAAAAAAAATTGTTTTTTTTTTCCATTTTCAGAAACATCCTTCTCAATATTTTGTTTCAAAAATTCATTTTCTTCATTGTTAATCTCACCCAGAATCACATTCCCTCGGTTTTTTGGCCTTTCCCTTTTCACGGGTAATTGAATTTCGAATTCGAATTTGATAAAGTTTTCATTTTTACCACATTAGGTCTCCTCTTGATTTCAATTCTTCGTTCTCACAAGTAAATTTTCTCCTGTTTCGTTTGTTGTCGTAATGATTGGTTTATTTGGTGACAAAAGGTCCAAAACTTTGGAAGAGATTCTTAGCTTCTGTTTGTTGAATTGTTGCTGTTTATGCAGGTGAATTTTTCATGTAATGCAATCGCGTTAAATTTAGAATCTTTATGATATTGTGAAGATTTGATTATATGGGTTTGGGGTCTGATTCTCCATAACCCGAGTTTGAAGATGATATGCTCATTTACAATCAAGAGCACAACAATGAATCTGAATTTTGGGCTTGTTTTTGTGAATTAAGACAAGGGTTTGTGTAAAAGAGGAACAAAGACTTGGTTTTTCTGTTGATATAAGAGATTGTACATAAGAAAGAATAGGACTTTCTTTTGTTTTTTGGTTCTTGAGACCATGAAAATGGAGATTCCAGGAAGCTCAAGTAAGAAGATAGGTAGGGATCGGTTTCACGGGAATGGCGATTTTAGTAATAACATGAATGAAGAGACAGGGGAGGAGTTTTCAGATGAGTTCTTGAAAGATTATAGTGGTCAAAGGAAAGCACAAGTAGCTAGTAGAAATGTTGATAACAGTCGTCATAACAGATTAGTTTACGAGGATCTTAATCGAATCCTCGGGATTCAAAGAGTTGATTCCGGTGTTTCAGATGTTGGTCCAGATTCATCTAGGATGTATCAAACAGCTTCAAATGTTCCTTTGCCTGAAAAACTAAAGCTTCTTTGCAGTTTTGGTGGTAGGATTTTACCGCGGCCTGGTGATGGGAAGCTTAGATACACTGGAGGAGAGACACGGATTATATCGACATATAAACATGTCGGTTTGAATGAGTTGATGCACAAGACTTACGCTATATGCAACCATCCTCATACAATCAAGTACCAATTACCAGGAGAAGATCTTGATTCACTAATATCTGTTTGTTCAGATGAAGATCTTCTTCATATGATTGAAGAGTATCAAGAAGCTGAAGATAAAGCTTTATCCAAGAGGATAAGAGTATTTCTTGTGTCTTTATCTGAGTCAGAGAACAAGAACATGAACCAAAACACGCGGAACACGGATAATGATCATTATCATTATGTTTCAGCTCTTAACGGCTTTGTGGATGTGAGTCCTCAAACGAGCTCTAGTGGGAAAAGTCCAAAAACAACACAGTTTGGGAATGTTTCAGGTTATAGCCCTACGTTTCATCATCGAGACTCGCCTACTTATTTACATTATATGCCTAGGATTCAGATACCGAAGAACTCATATGGCCAGCAATCTCCTCCATCATCTCCATTTTCAGCTCCTAAGAGAGCCAATACCGACATTCCTTACTTTGTTAGTCCAAATGGGTACTATGATAATAATAACAACTTCCCTTTCATGGTTGCTCCAAACTCTCCGCAGCAAAATCCTTTCTTGTTCGATACTAAGCAAATGCAGAAACATCCTGAAAGAAGCTTTCACAGGAGTCCAAGTGGGGATGTTTTCCCTACACCACAAACCGGTCAAGCTTATATCGGTTCTACAAAGCTGATGTTAAGGAAAAATGCTCTCTCTGATCCACAGTTGCATGATGAGAGTCAAAGCAACAAGTTAGAATCAGTTACTAAACATCCGGGACAAATGGCGAGAGAGAAATCGCCTTCTTTTGCTATGTCATTTACTTCAGAGAAATGGGAAGAAGGTGAATTCACTTTCAAGAATCCGGAGTTCGGTAATAAAGAGCTTCAGCTTATCACAGAGGTTCACAACTGGATGAACAATGAGGATCCAAGTTCGTTCGATTTGGCTTCAAAACAACTTGGAATTAGTGAAACTAGTAGCTCATTCAGTCCAAATTACCAAAGAGTTATCCGGATAGCTTCTATCGGTTCGCAAGACTCGGGAAGCTCTGTGTTCTCTTTATCAGCTACTACCAAAGATAGTTTACACTTTTGTGAATTACCTCCTAGGAAAGTGGGAAGTAGAGATGGTGTCTTCGCACATACGGAGGATGATCTTCGCAAAAATAACCCGCTTGGTTCACCAGTCGTAGTTGAGGATGTGACGAATGCAAACATTTCAGATGTACCTTTAACAGCTACGCTTGTTCCTCATGTACATAGTGAAGAAGAGAATACAAGTGATGGTGATAAATCCGAAATGGAGGTAGT